AACGTGCGCTGCAAAATGTCAGAGATGTATTTTTTCTGACTGAGAAATAGTCCCTGCGGTGTTCGGACTGCTTCAACTCCAAAAAAATAGCTCAATGTTCCCAGATCTTTGAGAGAGAATGTGGATGATAGTTTCTTGATAAATTCTGCAATCTCAGTGGTGGAAGAGCCAGTGACAAGTATATCATCCACATAAATGAGTACCAGGAGTTGAGTGTGCCCCTTTGTAGATATGAATAGCGATGCATCTGCCAAGGAGTTCAGAAATCCATTTTCCAGAAGATGAGATCGGAGAGCAGAGTACCAAGTTCGCGGTGCCTGTTTCAAACCATAGATTGCCTTCTTCAGTTTGCAGACATGAGACGGGTAGGAGTTGTCAACAAAACCAGGAGGTTGCTGCATGAAAAACACGTTCAGCCAATTTGCCTTGTAAAAATGCGTTGTTGACATCCAATTGATGGATTGGCCAGTTCTTGGTAACCGCAAGGCTGAGCACTAGTCGAGTTGTTGCTGGCTTCACCACAGGGCTGAACGATTCATGATAATCTATTCCTGGTCGCTGTAGAAACCCTTTGGCAACAAGTCTGGCTTTGTATCGGTCTATTGTTCCATCTTGCTTGTATTTGATTCGGTAGACCCATTTGCAGCCCACTATATTGCTTGCCTGATCTGATGGAACAAGCTCCCATGTGTCATTCTTGACCAGTGCATTATATTCTTCTGTCATTGCAGATCGCCAACATGGTTGTTTAAGTGCTTGAGCCACTGTTGTTGGAGTAGAAGATGACTGATCTGTAACAACAGTTGCAAATTTCGGGTTAGGTTTTGAAATATTAGACTTTGCCCTTGTTACCATTGGATGCATGTTCTGATTTATTGTGTTGAGAGTCTGTGGTGCCTCTTGCATAGGCATATGAGATTCTGCAGTGACCGCTGGAGTAGGCGAGATAGGAGGTGATTCAGACTGATCATCCTGATGCTCCGTATCAGGTGTTGAGCTGAATGTTTCCTCCATGTTGGCAGGGGAAGTCTCTGCTTCAGGGAGTGCTACTGACAGGGGTGCAGGTGGAGTATAAGGAATGACCGTTTGGGTCGAAAAAGAGGTTTGAGCTGTTTGGTCGGAGGATGATGGTATAGGCAGAGTATGTTGGGAAGCAAAGGGAAAAACAGACTCATGGAATACTACATGTCGAGATATATAGAGACGAGGTTTTATAGGATCGAGGCAGAGATATGCCACTACAAGAAAATAGTTATATAGCGACGGAAAAATCCGTCGCAAATATAAAGGAAATCCGTCGCAATTAAGAATTTGCGACGGAATGCGACGGATTTATTTCCGTCGGTATAGCGCTGTCGCAAATGTATAACGGCCGTTAATCCGTCGCATTTTTGCGACGGAAAAAATCTGCGTTTTGCGACGGAAAGTGACGGATTTTTTTCCGTCGCATTCCGTCGCAAATGTTTTAAAAAATTTAAAAAAAAATATAAAAAAATTATATACTATATATACACATACATATATACATTTTCACATACACATACATTCATACACATACATTACATACATACAAATATACATACATATACATACATATATATACACATATTTTCATATACACAAACACACATACACATTCACACATATACACATATACACATATATACACATACATAAATATTCATACACATACACATTTCACAAACACATACACATACATATAAACACACACATATACACATATTCATATACACATACAATCACATATACATACATACATATTCACATTCACATATATATATATACACATACACATACATATAAACACACACATATACATTCACATATACATACACATTCACTTACACACATATATAAACACACACATACGCATTCACACATATATATACACATTCACTTACACACACATACACATACATAAACACACACAAACACATCAAACACACACATATATATACATAAATACATATATATTACCTTATGGGAGAAATTTGGCGATCTTTGGAGAGATTTAGAAAAAATTTGGCGATTTTTATTTTTTTCCGAAAATCTTTGAATCTGACGAAGAAGACGACTCGTGGTTTTATATTGCGTTTTGCGACGGAATTTTCCGTCGCAATCCGTCACAAAATGAAATTTATTTACGCGCCAAAATTCAAAAAATTTCGTCGAAAACCGAAACCAAATACATTGCGACGGAATATTCTGTCGCAATCCGTCGCAATTTTTATTTTCCGTCGCAAATCATCTATTTCTTTGTTGTGACACAATTATCCGTCGCAAACCGTAGCAAATTGCGACGAATTTTGCGACTGTTTGCGACGGATAATTTTTTTCCACGTTCTGTCGTAAAATCGTCATATTTCGTCGCAATTTTCTGTGCGACGGAAATTTCTATCGCAAATTCCGTCGCTATATGCAGGTTTTTTAGTAGTGTGCGCTCTGGGTGTTGGAGTAACCAAGAGACACACAGGGGGCTGATCTTGGTTCTAGTTTGTTTGAGGAGTAAGGTCTGAGCCAGGGATAGCATAGGCATCTGAATGTCTTTAGTTTGGAGTAATTGGGAGACATATGGAAGATGGTTTCAAAGGGTGAGGACATGGTTTGCGTTGGGGTCGGTAGGCGGTTGATCAAATATACCGCTATTGTAAAAGCATAGGACCAGTATTTTGTGGGAATGGAAGCATGTTTGAGAAGAGACAGACCTGTCTCAACAATATGTCTGTGCTTTCTTTCGGATAGGCCATTGTGTTCAGGGGTATGTGGTGGTGTGGTGTAGTGGGATATGCCATTTGCTGCAAGAAAAGAGGAGAGAGCTATGAATTCTCCACCATTATCTGTGTAAAGGTTGGTTATTTTGGCTGTGAGTTTGGTTTCGATCAAGGCTTTAAATCTGATGAAGGTCTCTCGTGTGTCAGATTTGTGTTTCAGGGGATATATCCAGGTATAACGACTGAAGTGATCAATGAAGATAATATAGTATTTGAATCCATCAATGGATGTGAGAGGAGAAGTCCACACATCCGAAAAGATGTATTCTAGTGGTCTGGATGATGTAATGGTGGAAACAACAAATGGTAATTTATGGCTTTTATTGCAATGACAGGAATCACAAGGAGACGACAGAGTGGAACGAGATAGTGGTAAGGAATTGCTTGAAACAACATGTTTGAGGATAGGTAAAGAAGGATGTCCAAGGCGTGAGTGCCATTCAGACATTGTAGATTTGATACTGGAAAATGCAATAGCAGAGGTGGGGTTTGAGGAGGAGATAGGCCATTCATATACCCCTGCCTTTGTGTTTCCTGTCAGCAGACACTTCCCTGATCGCAGGTCCTTCACCTGAAACATTTCAGGAAAAAATTCAACTGACACAGCATTAGTCTTGCACAGTTTCTGAACTGATATCAGATTCTGGCGAATTGCAGGTACACAAAGAACATTGTCCAATGATAAAGCACGTGTTGGTAGAGAGATAGACAGGGAACCTTTATGAGAGATAGCCAAACCTGATCCGTCACCAATAATCACATCATCAGGTCCTTGATATGGACTGTGCAGTGCGAGATTTTGCAAATCAGATGTAATATGATGTGAAGCACCACTATCGAGCAGCCACGGGGTGCTATCATAGGTGTTGTTTTGCATAACATTGTATGCAGTGTGACATGGACGAGGATTCTGATTTCTCGGGTCAGTGGTAGTGTTGTCAGATTTCCTTCCAGCTGATATAATGCGGTATTCAGGACAATATTTGGCGCTGTGTCCTTGTATTCAACATGCCTGACATCTCCCTTTGTAGTTACCCTGTGATTGATGTGGTTTCCAATTGGAATTCTGGGGTCTGTAGTTGTTACCTGGGCATCTTGGTCTGGCATTGGTTTGTTGAGGAGAGCCAGTTCCTCTGTTTTTGCCGAGATGAATCTGATGTATTCATCGATGGTTTGTGTTGCTTTGGTGCTGCGTTTCACTTGTTCTCTCAGTTGCAGCAGATGACCTCTTGTAGCTTTGCCATATGTGTTGGCTAAAGTTTTCCAGGCCTCTTTGACAGAGGTGGAACGAGCAATCAAGGGCTGGAGATTTGTCGATAGTGTGCCAAGGAGGGCACTAAAAAGTAATCTGTCTTGTTGTTTCCAAGGTTGGAATGCAGGGTTGTCACTAGAGATGCCGTCGTTGATGAGACGAGGAGCTGGTACTGCCGAGTCATCGATGATGAACGCGTCCAAGTTGTGTCCTTCCAGAAGCGCTTTGACTTGGACACTCCAGGTAAAATAATTGGTTGCGATTAATTTGGTGATGTTTGTCATATTGCAGGCAATGAGGGTTTTTTGTGGATCTGTGTTGTCAAACGTTGGAGCATTGGCTCTAGGTTGATCTTGTGTGTCTGTTGACATGGTTGGAGGAAAAAAGAAGGATTGATTTGTGGTTACACACAAAGCTCTGATACCATATAACCACACTATGAAATGTGTATATGCGACTCAAAATGATTCATTCTCTATACTTCATTATATATACAGATACAGAGCATGAGAAGAGGAAGATGTTAACCTAACGTCTATGGAAGGTTACAGAAATGGTAATATCACAATTAGAGGATTACAATCGTAGGAGAATATATGTATTCCCTTATAGGTACAAACTAACTCGAGATATAACTAACTCGTGCAGAAGAAAGAAAGCAAAACCTCGAAAAGCTTAGTGACTATCTTGAAATTTGAGCAATCTGTAGCCATAAATAAATGTACATTATTTGACCGTAACAGTTAAACTTACGTACGCATGGGGATACAGCGATTACGACATAGTGTCGGCATCTATATATGTTAATATTGGAATGAATTTCTATAGACATAACAAAATGATATAACAAACCCAAGATTTGGTTGGCTCAACCGGTAAAGAATTCTCAACCCAGGTTCGAGTCTCCACTTGAGAACCCACATTTTTTGGATTTTTTAATAGATATAATTGGGCCAAAGACCCAATAAATTTCTTGATTATAAAAAAATATTACAACAACAACAATTGAGTAAAGTTACAACTCGAACAAAAACTAAAAAAAAAATCAACCGCACAAGAGTTTGCCCCTCGTTCCAATACCTCTATAATCCAAACAATTCATGAACGATATATATATATATATATATATATATCTCTTGCTCACGATCTCATGAATTAACTCGACCTAAAAACGAATAGCGTATCTCGTTACCTTTCCATATATAGTAGTTTATTCTGATATTTCACCCAAACGTTGAGTTGCCCATCACTTGTGGTGGCATTCGACCGTTAGGGTTCATCATAGGGCTCAATGGTGATCTTCTAGGAGACGGACGGCCTTTCAAGTGCTTTTCCACCACTTGCTTCAAACTTCTTAATACTCAATCCGTCAATCGATAACCACGATGTCCCATCGTATATATCTGATGGAGAATCCAAATCTGCAGAAACATGTGAAGCCATCTGGATCTGAATCTGATGTTCATCGAGCTGGCGACAAGAAGAAGACGTCGGAGGGCCTCCGAGATCATGAAGCCTGAAATGATCTTCCGGCCACATCAATAGGCTCTTTTCGGCATCGCTTCCAAAAGGGTTCGGTCTCTTCTTCCCCGAGTAAATATTGTAATAATGGTGGTCGATTTTATCGGTGTCTACGTATTTGTTGAGGTCTTGGAAAGGCGGGAAGCTTAGTGAAGCAACTGCCAAATCTTCCTTGTATACTTCTCCTCTAGCCGCCATGGTCTCACCGGCTAGCGTTTGGCAAGCTTTCTCCAATATTGATTGCATGTACTTTCCTTGTGCTTCAATCCTTAGTTGAAGATGTCGTTGCACCTGAAAAATAAACGAGATAAATACAACTTAGTATATGGTATTAATTGACGTAATTAGTCAATATTTTGTATTGGGAACGTACCTCTAATTGGTCATACAACCTTCTCTGCACTTCCATTTGCATCCTAATATTGCATCAAACGATGTGTGAGTTGCTGCTTATGTTATAGTTTCAACACCGGCGTTTTTATTCCACACAATAACAAAAACCCTTTATGAGATTTCTCATGCAGATTCAAGAGTATAACAATGTTTCACAAACTAAGAAAATTATCTATATGTTTAACACCTCTGTATATATACACATCCATATATATATATATATATATATATATATATATATACACACATATGTTTTTTGTATTAATTAACTGCAGCATATACTGTATATATATATATATACATATGTTGCACCAAAAATATTTTAGAAAACGACAATAAAAATCAAGGAATGAGATGAACATACTATCACATACTCGTTCATGTCGTGCCTCATCATCATGCCGGAGGACGAAGCAGCGTTCCGCTGAAGACCCAAAGCCGAAGCTGCACCCAGAAAAATTGACAAACTAAAGAAAAAAATATATATACAGACTTTCACATGGATATATATATGGGTATGTATGTGTATGCATGCATGCATGTAAGTTCAGTAACATGAAATAGGAGAAAACCCTAGTTCAAAGAATTCACCTCTCGAGCCATCCTTTGCGGAGTGATCATTGTATTCTTTATGCGGCTGCTTTCCGAGCCTGAATTTCTGAACCCAGAGATTGAAAAAGAAACTGTTATCCTTTAATATCGTAATTAAAAAACAAAGGAAATAAAAGAGAGTATTAAAGGCAGAGATTTTGAAAGAAACCCTAATATAAATGAAATATAAGCACAAAGGCAAAGCTATAGTTATCGTGTAAATGAGCAATATTTCTTCGTATTCAGACCTGAAGATGGCTCTTAAGATGGTAAAGAGTGAGACCCTTGACGCCCATAACTCTCATGATCGTCTTTGGAGTTGCCTCTGCGAAGGAAAAAAAAAAGATTCACACTTTTCGATTAATTCGATCCAATAATTCTAATAATAAACACGAAATTGTGCTTGAATTTATAAAAAAACAAATTCTAGTGAGGAATTTACTGTCGGGGCCGCCGAGTTGGGTGACTGCGTCGACAAAACGCTCATGGAGTTCGACGGTCCAACGCAAACGCGGTTTTGGGTCTGTGGTAAGGACAAGACCCGAATCGCCTTGAACGCAGTTGTGTCTGGCCTCATGCGATGAACAACTCATACTTGAAGGTTAATTTCTCTTCGAATTGAACGTTCTCTCTCTCTCTCTCTCTCTCTCTCTGCAAAAGAGGGTTTCGGAGAGAGATTCAATTCAAAGACGAATGCGATGCAAAAATGGAAGAGAATACGATGCGTTTTCTAAGATATCAGATGACGGCGCCCTCTCTCTCTCTCTCTCTCTCTCTCCTTCTTCTTCTTCTTCTTTTTGGGTTTTTATATTGTCTGAATAAAAAATATAAAGACAATTGGTTAATTAATGCGTGAAATTAAAGATTTACACACAGAAGTAAGAGAATTAAAGTTCCGCCTAGTACGCAGGCATTCCTTTGTGAAAAAGACACTGTCGCCATTTTTAAAGTTTTTTTTTTTTAATAACGGAGCGTCCTGGGCCGAAACCCAGACTAATCTCCGTACCGGAAACAAGCCATGTGAATTGAAATATTCGCTCCCCTCCCCACCCTGGGGCTCGAACTTGGGACGGGACAAGTGCTTCGCACCCCCGTTTCACCAGTTGAGCTAAGCAGGATGAGTATTTTTAAAGCTTTACTTAACCAAAAAATGTAAATTAATTGCGGTATCATACTAAAAATTCACAATGATAGTATTAGGGTATGAGGCCTCCTTTTCCCAGTTTTCCTTGAACTCACGATGCATGGTCTATACAAATAGAATATAAACTATTATTAAATTATTTATACTTTGGACAATGAAATAAGAATCATTAGAGGGAGAGAATATAACTGTTCAAAGGCGAATATTATTGTTAAAGTCTTGCACATTTTTTATTCCATAAGATTGCTCTAGATATTCTTATATTATAGTGTGTGTGTATATATATATATATATAGCATATGTATATAATTACACATGCTAAAATATCCATATAATAGACGCACACTAAGTTATATTTCACAAGGATTTTATGGTAGGGTAAACCTTTTTGGCTAATGATGAGCTGAACAAACCTAATCCAATTTATGTTTTTGTGTACCCACACATGTAAACACACTCAGAGCCAGTTTATCTTCTGTGTATCTACAAATCTCAGCTATATACATATATAATTTCAAATACACATATGTATACAACAATTAAAAAAATCAATCAATCAAAATTTGTTTATTATTATAAGATAGATTTTCCTATATATATATATATAGCTTGGAATATAAATATATTTCCAGTACTATATAATATTATTTCCACCTTCCTAAATAAAGAGAAATACTATTTTGTGTAAGAATATATCTATATTTGTTTTTGTAGATACGTTCATAAAATGGCCAACCCTATCAAGAATATGTCAATGAATGTGTCTGATTTGATATGTACGGAAAGCATAGCTTATAATGAATATGTATTAATCGGGTGCAGGAAGGGGGAATGATGATTTTCAAATTTTCAAATACACATTTTTTTTAATGATCAATAGGAATAAGGGAAGTGCAAAAAATAAAAATAAAAAGCATGCTAAGAATATGGAACCAAAACTTTAGGTTATACGGTTTGGTGGTATGTGGGGAAGTATACATCAATGTATAAAAAGGAGATGTTGTATATTGTTGGGGACCTCCTCTTCTATTTATTAAAGCTCTTTCGCCATCTCTTTTTTATTTTTTATTTTTTATTTTTATATTTACTATGTTTTTAGTTTTTTCTTTTATTTTGTATTTCTGTTTTGTTTTATTTTATTTTTTTAGGCAAAGCTTGAGCTTGTTGTGGGTTGCTTCCCTTTTGGCTTTTGTAAGATCGAAGATTGTCACCCTGTACATGGTTATATGTTTTCCAGATATCGCGACTATCATAAATTTATAGGAGTTTTAAATTTCGTTATTGTTTTTTAATATTGTAGATGAAAATTAGAATTTATATATTTTGTGTAGATATAAGTTGATGGGGGCTTATAATTAAGATGCATATAATATAAAGATGTGGCGTTGATAACTAGGAAAAATTCCAAATATCACAAACTAATATAAAAGTGAAGAAAAGTACAAACCAATCCAAAATCCAATCTAAGAAATATATGCATGAGAAAAAAAAAAGAACTATTTAATATTTAAAACAATCTAATTCTACATATGTTTGATATAAAAATATGATATATATCAATATTTATTTTATAATCCTGAATATGTTAGATATATAGATTTGAAATCACAAATATCTTAATCTAGATCATAGTCGAATCAATTTAATGCATATTTTATATGTGATTTCAGAATGTATAATGTATTAAGACCATATAAATAAAATAGAAAACCAAATTATTATTTCAATTTAAATCTTGCACTGAAATTCAAGGCGAGAATTTGGAATGAGAATCAATTCTCCTCTTTAATAAATAAAGATAGATTCGTATAGCGCCAAAAATATATTAAAAATGAAATTGTATAGAATGTCCGCGGTAGATGCCAACAGTATGAACATATCCATCCAAAACTATATAAATATTTATTCACTATTTTAATTTATTTTTTAAAGTTTACTATCTTTTTTTTTTCTCACGTAAACTGCCACACGTTAATATGAAATTTCACAGAAATATAAAATAGCACAATTTATTTATCACAAAGATCCAAAATTTTCCACTGGTGACGATTTTCTTTTAAATATTTCACTGGAAATACCATAATTTTGACTTTAATTTTCCATTAAACTTTCAAGCGAGATAGCATTACAATTTTAACCCAAGGTATACAATTATATATATAAGTACATATTCGCAATATCCTTCCAAATAGATGTTAGAAAAACTATGAATATAGCGGGAAAGAACAACAAAATTAATGAAATCGAAATAAAAACGTAAGAACCCGGATATAATCTTCTAGGCGTGATTTCACTTTCCTAAAACGTTATTCCCTCCCCACCGAGCAAAGGAGAATCCCGAGAATACGTTTAGAGATACAAAGAAGACCAGCAACGATTGATCTGCTCCTCAAACGTTGCCCGAAACAGAAAAACCCGAGAAAGAAGATGAACAGTAAAAGATGGAGAAGAAATAGCAAGTTTCTTCACCAACAAGGCTCACAAATCTCTCAAAAATCAATTAGATTTCATACTCATATGTGTTCAGACGTCTAGGAATGTTTTTAACACTCCAAAAGTCAAAAGGTGCAAGGATAGGGAAGTTTTTTCCGAACAGACACGATTTTTCGTTCATTTGAACAACTCAGAAAAATCAGGTGGGTCGCTCATTTTTCGAGCGGTCGCTCATTTTCCAGTTTTGTTCATCAGAGAAAATGAGCTACCCGCTCATTTTCCTGACCGGTCGCTCATTTTCCAAGCGGTCACTCATTTTCCGAGCGATCGCTCATTTTCCCCAGTTTTGTTCATTAGAGAAAATGAGCTACCCGCTCATTTTCCTGAGCGGTCGCTCATTTTTTGAGCGGTCGCTCATTTTTTCCAGTTTTGTTTTATCGGAAAAAACGAGCCAAACGAGCCACCTTCAATATCTTCCGACTAATCCTTAACACTTAACCAATTCACGACACGTCTTTTACAAGCATTTTACTCATCCACCACACTTGTAATACACGTGAAACAAGAATCCTTTGAGAGATTTTAAAGTCCACCAATCTACTCTAAAATAACTAACAATCCTCCACCATTTTAGAGTAGATTGTCTATGGAAACCAAGCGACAATCCGTCATCCTCACAACTTTGTGCATAAATAAAAGTATCTTTCGATTGAACTTCCATTTAGTGTAATGTACAACAATAAACTCGAATTACATAGGTGTCGAAACGATTGAACCTAGTAATCCTAGTTGAGCTACTGAGTACAAAACACACACAAAGTCGATACAAGTTTTTCTGCAATCCTTGACACTATAATGGTCATGTGTCCATATCCATTCACAAGCACATGGATGTTAAGCCACCAACATCTTGAAGCGGCCTCACTTCATGCTTGTATAGGTGAATCCTTTATGATATCGTGCCCTGCAACTAAGCACTTTGTCAAAGGACTCATTAAGTAAAACATCCTCTTTACATTGCATAACCTAGATGCTTACCTCGGGATGTGTTGTCGTGAAGCATCTACAATCACATAGTAAAGGATTTAACTCATTGAACTCAAGATCTAGCGTTGTACTAGACGTTGAGTTGAGATTCCTTTACTTGCAATTCAT